TCTAAAACAGTTACACAATATTTTTTTATGGAGACAGTGTCTCACTATGTCAGCCTTAGTAGAGTGCTGTGGCTTACAGATCACAGCAACTCTTGGGCTTAAGTGATTCTCTTGCCTCAGCCTCCTAAGTAGCTGGGACTACAGGCACCTGCCACAATGCCCGGCTATTTTTTGGTTGTAGTGGTTATTGTTGTTTGGCAGGCCTGGGCTGAACTTGAACCCAACAATTCCGGTGTATGTGTCTGGTGCTCTGGCCGCTGAGCCCACTTATACAATTTTAGCACTGAGCTCTTCAGTGAATCCTAGACTCAAACTCATCATTTTCAGTCAGAATGCAAAACACAGATCCAACATATAACTTTTTTTTTAATTACAACAGTTATCCAAGTCGGACCAACATATAACTTTTAATTTCTCCTCCAAATCTGTTCTTCCTTCAGCTGGTCTAGTAAGTGATGCTACTATCCACTACACTGCTTGAGGCAAAAACTCAGAAAAGCACTGCCTTAATTAGTGTTATCCTTCCTTTCACTGTGCATTTTAATTTCTCCACATCTTTTTTAAGAACACTGACTACATTGGTCTGCAGAGAACTGAACAGCAATTGAAGAGGAAAGGTAATTTCCAGGTGCTGAAATGCAATGTTTTTTTTTTTTGAAACCGAGCCTCAAGCTCTCCCCCTGGGTAGAGTGCTATGGCATCACAGCTCACAGCAACCTCCAACTCCTGGGCTCAAGTGAGTCTCCTGCCTCAGCCTCCCAAGTAGCTGGGACCACAAGCGCCCGCCACAACACTTGGTTATTTTTTGGTTGCAGCCGTCATTGTTGTTTGGCGGGCCGGGCTGGGTTCGAACCCCCCACTTTAGGTGTACGTGGCTGGCGCCTTAGCCACTTGAGCCACAGGCGCCAAGCCAAAATGCAATGCTTTTATTTAGTTTTTTTAAATGTCATGGGCTTTTTGTTTATTTGGTTTATTTTTTTATTTTTTTATTTTTTTGAGACAGAGCCTCAAGCCGTCCCCCTGGGTAGAGAGCCGTGGCATCACAGCTCACAGCAACCTCCAACTCCTGGGCTCAAGCGAGTCTCCTGCCTCCACCTCCCAAGTAGCTGGGACCACAGGCGCCCGCCACAATGCCCGGCCATTTTTTGGTTGCAGCCGTCATTGTTGGTTTATTTTTTTTTTGAGACAGACCCTCAAGCTGTCACCCTGGGTAGAGTGCCATGGCATCATAGCTCAGAGCAACCTGCAACTCCTGGGCTTAAGCAATTCTTCTGCCTCCGCCTCCCAAGTAGCTGGGACTACAGGTACCTGCTACAATGCCTAGCTATTTTTCATTTGCAGCCGACATCATTGTTTGGCGGGCCCGGGCTGGATTTGAACCCACCAGCTCAGGTATATGTGGCTGACACCTTAGCCACTTGAGCCACAGGTGCCAAGCCTGGTTTTTTGAGACACAGTCTAATATCTGCCACCCAGGGTAGACGCCATAGTGTCCTGGCTCACAGCAACCTCAAACTCATGGGCTTGAGCAATCCTCTTGCTTCAGCCTCCCAAGTAGCTGGGACTTACAGGCACCCATCACCACCCCCAGCTAGTTTTTTCTATTTTTAGTACAGATGTTGTCTCCTTTTGCTCAGGCTGGTCTCAAACTCTTAAGCTTAGGCAATCCACTCACCCTGGCCTCCCAGAGTGCCAGGATTACAGGCGTGAGCTATCACACCCAGCCCTTAATGCCATGTTTTTAATGAACAGATCCTAATATTATGAGGGACTGGTTTTTCTGCACTAGTGCATTAATGACTCATAGTCATTATTGATAGTCATGACATCCAGATCTGGATATATGACCTAGTCAATCTCAAAACATTTGAGTTTAGGTGAGAAAGACACGAAGATAAGAGTGACTAGACCCTCGTTCCACTTTGTGGAGAAGTTTGGGAGTGGTTGTAAAGGTGTAGATGAAACATCAATGTTCATAAATTATCTGTTGAATTGCTGTGTAAAAGGACAATTTATGCTTTAAAGGGCAATTTTAAGTGTTTCTACCATTCACTCTCTACACAGCTGCCAGAGTGATCCTTTTAAAGCAAATCCTATTCTTCCTTTGGTCTCAAATCTTCATAGTATTCTATTCTATTCTAATACAATCCAAAAATCTAACCAAGGCTTACCAGACAATACATGATCTGGCTCCAAGCTATGATTTCTTTCTTCTGTCTTTTTTTTTTTTTGAGACAGAGTTTCACTTTGTCACCCTCAGTAGAGTGCCGTGGTGTCACAGCTCACAACAACCTCAAACTCTTGGGCTTAAGAGATTCTCTTGCCTCAGCCTCCCAAGTAGCTGGGACTATAGGTGCCCACCACAACAC